CTGAAGCCTGAAATGCGAAAACATTGGCAGGGATCGAACTGCCCCAAAATTCCTAAAATCCTGGCATCTATGGGGAATGCTGGGCTATAGTTGCTCAGATTTTGGGAATTTTGGTGAAATTTGATCCCTGCCGATGTTTTCGCATTTCAGGCTTCAGGAATTTTGGTGAAATTTGATCCATGCCGATGTTTTCGCATCCGAGGGTGCCCACGTCCCATAATCCACAGCTTTCAAAAAGCAGGCTCGGGTGGATCATGGGGGGGGGGGGCGTGCGCATATATATATATATATATATATTTGTGATAGTAACTTAATTATAGATAGATAGATAGACAGATAGATAGATAGATAGATAGATAGAGAGATAGAGCCCGTGAAGGCACGTGTTCAAGGTGTGGGGCCTGGGCATCAAGACTGTCTTTTCTGGCTTACAAGGCTTGGATTTTCGGTCTGAGGCTCGGAACGTTGAGGGCTCCACCTGGTTGCCGAATCACCAGACCCTAACCCTAAAGCCAGAACTCTAATCCTAAATGTGATGGGTCTGGGCCTGGGTTTCGGAGCACTAGGCTTCTGTACGTTAGTTCTGGTGCCTAGGGGTGGGCCTCCTAGACTTGCAACTACCCTCCATCACGGCTTGCATGCGGATTGCTAAGGACCCTAACAGGGTCTCTGGTAAGGGTCCTCTTCTGGGGCCCTGGTTTGGCCCAAACCTGGAGAACGTGTTCAGGAGATTTCAGGCGTTGCGGTCTAGCACAGCAGAGTTTAAGAGACGTGCAGTAGGGACGCTCTAAGACTCGTATCGCCATATACGAGTAATCTTAAGTTCTGATCCTCAGCCTCGAGCAGTAAACTCTTGATCCCGCACCCAAATCCCAAGCCAAGTCCAGACATCTTAGGCCTAAACCGCGAAACTACAGCAACACAAACAAAATAAACGACGAACGGAATCCAATCTCAAGATGCGATCATGATGACCATGTGGGAAGACAACAAGGTTAAAAAGGAACTTCTGCCCAAAATCATCCACACCGTCGAACTCAAAAAGGAAACCAACATCAACAACAGCCGCAGATCGCTGAAGTCATATAAAGAGCTTCACCCTGAACTTCAAAGCCCCTAAAGCCATCTAACGCCATGAAGGCCGTTGCCACGAAGATCATGTCTTTGGAAGTGGATTTTGGTTCGGCTCTGCCCTTGGAGAGAGGGGGGTTGTAGGGGGTTTAGGGGTTTAGCGGTTTAGGGGTTTGGTGGGTTACAGTAGAGGTTTGGGGTTTGGGGTTTGGGGGCTAACACGACAAGGGATGGGTGGTGGTTTGCGGAGCGTGCGGTTTTTGTGCAGGATTGAAAGCCAGGAGCTTTCGGCTTGGGCAGGCAAAGATGAGTGCAGGGCAGGGTAGAGCAGGGTTTCTGAGATCCTGGCGCCCAGTTCCCATCCCTTCTGCCCGGCCCAGCATGAAAGCCTTCGGGGGCCGCCCTCCAGGCTTGATGAGAACATACAGATACATATATATATATATATACACACACACACATGTGTATATATATATATATATATATATACACATCAACGACTTGTTTTGTGGCTGGAGGATTAGGGTGCCAGGGAAGATGACTTCGTTAAAAGGGGACTCGTTGCTTGGACGCTGGGTTTGGTGAGTTTGGTGGGTTATAGAGGAGTCTGCCTTTCCAGCCACAAATCCTGAATCCTGGCGTTCTGAGTCTTTGCTTTGCTACTTGAAGCCCTAAAACCCTGAACCGTGAACCCTTTGCATTTTAAAGCCTATCCTGGATCCAAAAAAATAATGTCAGAAGCGGTTACAGCCCTACAGCTGCATAACCCCAGGCCAGAAAGACGTAGGCCCCCAAACCCAGAAAGACGAACAGAGCACAGAGGAAAAAAAGAGAGGACAAGGAAGGAACTAACAGCCCTAAACCCTAAACCCCTAAACATGGCCATGGACCTTCAGGAAGACAGGGCTTCTCCGCCAGAGTCTTTGAGTTGTTTGGGTTCCTAAGCCCAGGTTAAGAGTTCGGGTTTAGGGTTTAGGGATTAGAGTTTGGGCTTAGGGTTTAGGGCGTCCACATAGTGTTTAGGGCTCAGGAATCCAACACCTTCGGCAGGTAGCGGCTGTGTAGGGTTCAAGATTTGAGAAGGGCAGGAGGTGATCGAGGTTGTGGGGTTCAGGCCCTGAGCTCTCAAACCCCAGTCGCACACTTAAGGAGCCCAGCCAAACATGTACGAAGCAAGTCTAGAACCCGTTTGAATACCCATAATACCCAGATAAAAACCCTTCAGAACCCTTTGAGAACCTTAGCCAAGCATCCGTTGGCTTCTGCGCCTCTCGAGGAGCAAGTCCTTGCCGTGTCGCGGCCGCGGCTGCAGGAATCGAACATCGAGTTCTGTAGTGTTCGGATTATGTGGTTTGGGGTTCATGGCAGCTCTCGGATTCCTACACGAAGGTTATAATAGGGTTCATCGTTGGGGTTACTGTACCCTAGTCACTTAACCCTGACAGTCGGCAGCAGCTGAGCGGTAACCAAAGGTTCTCTAGCCGTAGTCGCTCGGGATGTTACACCTATGGCTTCCGGTAGGACAGCCCCGCAGTCCTTCTAAACAAACCCTGTGCACACCTGTTTCCCCTTTGAGCAATCGAGGCTGTGTAGTGTCCATCAGAGGGAGGGTTGCCCCCACCAAGAGGATTTTCACCCTCCCAAACCTTGAACCTTAAGCCCACTATACTATACTTGGACACTCTTTGGACTCACAGACTCATTATAAGTTGGGGGTCAGCATCCCGCCAGACCCGCTTTGGAAATCCCGAAATAGCCCAGCTTACTATACCCCATGGGCCGAGTCCAAAGAGTCATCATCAACTTTTTGTTGGGCGGGCGTTGCATTCTGCTGAACCTTAACCCTAAACCCTAAACCCCAAACCCTAAACCTGAAGCTCAAACGCCAGAACCCTCAGCCGTCTGCAGTACCCTAAACCCCTATGCACAAAGCCTATAGAACTGTCATAGAACCACCTAAAGCCCTAAACCCTAAACCCCCTCAACAAAAACGCCCCAAACCCTCAAACATAAACCCTATGCCTAAAACCTGAAACCTAAACCTAAAACCCTGGAACATAAACCCTAAGCTGGGAGCAGGAAGCTGCAATGCACGCAGCTCGCCAAAGCGACGAGGCTGGGACGGAATCTGTACCCGGTTCCTTTCAATGAGCCCTTTTGGGAACTCTTAGGGGTTCCTCTGAAGGGTACTATAGGGTTACTGTTAAGGGTTCCTTCAAAGCGTACTATAGGGTTCCTTTCAAGGGTCCCTTGCCCATGCAGCAGGGGGAGATTGACTGCTGCTGTCAGTGTTGCTGTCAGCAGCTTGCTTCGAGTTCTATCCTTACGTCGACAATCCGTCTATTGCGTCGGCTGCCATTGTAATAGCGACTCCACCGTCAATGTCCCCGATGCAGGACAACGAAGCAACAATGGATCAGCGCCTGGACCAGCTGCGAAGGGATCAGGCGCAAAAACGAGTCCTTTGCATGCCTTTGAAGGATCCTCGGGTCGAAATCGAGTTCAAGAATGTTGGCTTGTGCCATCGCTGGTCGGATAAAGACCCGAAGCTTATAAAAGTCCGAGATGGGCTACCCATTTCGGCAGGAAGGAGTTCTATATATATATGTATATACATGTA